AATTGGTATACTGTACTGTATTTCTGAAGTCGTTTTGGTGTTGTTACAATCATGAGTTACAATCGATCCAACAAAGGAAAGCATTATATATTTCCTTACATTCCCAAAAAGAGGATGCTATTTAAAATTTGCTGGAGATTGAAAAATTAACTGTGCAAAGCAGATTGATCACAAAATCAGAAGCATGATCTCAAACATCAGAACCCAGCTTTTATTGTTTAAAACTGTCGGGGCCCCGTTGAATGAAACTACGGTATTATAGTTTATATTATTTTTTTTAAAAAGTACAATGTCGGGGCCGCCCGCGCCTGGGGCCCTGGCGCTCTACTATATTATAGGCCTAGACTAGAACCAGGCCTCCTACTATAGTATAGAGGCCTATAGTCCAAGACCTTGTTACAAATCCCAGCCCACATAAGCCTAGCCTATAATACCTAGCAGGGCAGGGCCGTAGGCAGGATTTTCGATGGGGAGGTGCGTTTTGCAACCGAAGTGGACCTTACGATGGGCGACTGCCTAGGGGTCCCCGTGATGGTGGGACGAATCTTCTGGAAGCTCTGAAAAATTAGCATTTTGAGGGCATTTTTTAATGGATTTCTAAAATCCATAATTTGTAATATCGCGATTTAAATTTTCATTCATTTGAGTATTGTCTAGGGACCTACAGTAAAAGCAGGAGAAATAGAGGGTGGGGGTGAAGGGAGGAACTTGAGACAGAAAGTCAATACTACCTCAGCCCCACCATGATTGGGGCTGAGGTAAGAAAATTTATGATTATGGCACCTCAAAATGCCCGGAAAGGAGACTCTCAGACAAACTTCAATTATTATTTTTCTTTTTTTCTCCATTTTCTTCTATAATTTTAGGGGGCTCTTCTCCCTTGAATCCACCACTGTGAAATGTAATTTTTCATGTTCTTTACATCTGTAGGCCTACAGATGACATGGATCAATCTGCAATCACTGGAGCTGATAATTTCAGCACATTATTAAAAATCAACGGGTAAAAGAGCGGGCAAAAAAATGTAATGCATACTATAGCATTTCGCGATAATTAGGAACAATTTTAGTGATATAATAGGTTTTAAAAGTAAAATTTTTGAAATTGGGTGGTCCAGGGGCAGAGACCTGGAGGGGGTTTATGAGAAAAGTGACAAAGTAGCATTTTGAGGGTCTTACATAATAGATTTCTCAAACACATAATTCATGAATATTTCATTAAAATTTTAATTAATTTGGGTGTTTTTGGGACCTGAAAAAGTAACGTTATTATGTCCTGTACATCTGCATGCCTATAGATAACATTCTTCATATTATATAGATCAATCTGCAATCACCGGAGACGATCAATTTCTAACAAATTTCATGCCACATTATTAAAAATCAACGGTTAGATACGCTGGCAAATAATGCAATGCATGCCATAGCATTTTGTAATAATTAGGAACGATTTTGTGAAATCATAGGTTTTAAAAAGTGGACCTTTTGTTGGAATCTGTGGGGTGCGTCCACACCCCCCCCCCCACCAGCCTACGGGCCTGAACTTGTGATCGCGGTACCCTGACCATTAAAAATTAGCAGACGAACTGGGAAGCGTTGTTCACGGCATTGGACAGCAGCGAAAAATGATTCCCCCATCATTAATGGAACAGGCCCACGTCACGCTTGGCTGACTAGTTTTGATTTACATTTTGTGTGTCTGTGCCATAAGCAGCAAAAGTCCATGTCAAACC